TGTGTGTGTGTGTGTGTGTGTGTGTCAGGAGAGGGGTGGGGACTCCTTGGCACACTCGCTCTCCTTCCTCCAGCTTCAGAGCTATATAAAGAGGGGGAGACAACGTGTCTACTCCATACTCCACAGACTTTGCATCCTGAAAACACAGACCGGGAGAGGTAAGGCACTTTTGTTTTTTGGCAAGGATTCCCTAAATGAAGATTGCTAGCTGACACAACAGGTGTCCCAGTGGCTAGTAAAATACTGTCAAATCTATGGTGAGACTGGAATGAATTTGGGGGGGGGCAGAGGGAAATCCTACCCCCCCCCTGCACAGCTTGCTTGCAGCTGTTTGGAATGGATGATCTCCTGATACGTCTGGTAACCCTCTCAGCGATGAATGCTTTTAACGAAAACGGGTGAACAAGAGTTGACTTTGGCAAAAGAAGCTTTACCGCTTTGGAGTGTCACCGGCAGGCTTCAAAATTAAACGGAAACCAGCGACGTTCATCGCTGTGACTATTTAAAAATGATTCAGATTAGAGTGTTCGAATGCTGGCAAGCAAGTCTGGGCTTACTCAAGGATTCCCTCCCCCCTCAATTAAAGGGAACTAGAGAAGTGGAAGGAGAGAGCAATACTGAATTTCTAAAAAATGTAGGCACTGAAGTTCAAATTGGGTTGCTAGATCCAGGTTGGGGAACTCCTGGAGATTTGGGGATGGAGCCTTAGGAGGACAGGGACCTCAGTGGGCTACAATGCCACAGGGTCCACCCTCCAAAGCATCCATTTTCTCCAGGAGAACTGATCTCTGTAGTCTGGAGATGAGCTGTAATTCCCCCAGTCTCACTGAAGCTGGCATCACAAGTTCAAACCTGCCAATAACCATACCCATGTCGTTGCTAAATGACTGATAAAGTGTACCTTGCACATATTTTATCCAAAGGTGCTCAGCATTACATACATGGTTCCTATTTTATCCAAACAACAACCCTGTGATGTAGGTTAGGCTGACATGGCACGACTGGCCCTCAGTTACCCAGTCAGTTTCATGGATGGGTTCGAACCTGAGTGTCCCCAGTCCTAATCCCTCCTGAAATGCCACATCATTTTACACTATGAGGTCCGTCAGAGGCTCCTGTTCTAAGGCCTGGTGTTCAAAATAGGTTCTGGGGCTTAGGTCCCAACCGGGACAGTGTGTGACTGCAATAAAGAACGCCAATGCTATGCTGGGGATTATTAGGAAGGGTATTGAAAACAGATCAGCCAATATCATAATGCCCCTATATAAATCAATGGTGAGACCTCATTTGGAATACTGTGTGCAGTTCTGGTCACCACACCTTAAAAAAGATATTATAGCTTTGGGAAAAGTGCAGAAAGGGGCAACTTGAATGATAAAAGGGTTGGAACACTTTCCCTATGAGGAAAGGTTAAAGCGCTTAGGGCTCTTTAGCTTGGAGAAACGACGACTGAGGGGTGACATGATCGAGGTTTATAAGATTATGCATGGGATAGAGCAGGTAGAGAAAGAGGTACTTTTCTCCCTTTCTCACAATACAAGAACTCGTGGGCACTCCATGAAACTGCAGAGCGGTCGGGTTAGAACGGATAAAAGGAAGTACTTCTTCACCCAAAGAGTGATTAACACATGGAATTCACTGCCACAGGAAGTGGTGGTGGCTACAAGCATGGACGGCTTCAAAAGGGAATTAGATAAGCATATGGAGCAGAGGTCCACCAGTGGCTATTAGCCACAAGGTATAGATAGGGGCTCTGGGGCAAGTGATGCTCTGTCTTCTTGGTGCTTGGGGGGCGGTCAACAGTGGGAGGGCTTCTAATGTCCTGGCCCCACTGGTGGACCGCCTGATGGCACCTGGTATTTCTGGCCACTGTGTGACACAGAGTGTTGGACTGGATGGGCCTTTGGCCTGATCCAACATTGGCGTCTCTTATGTTCTTAACAGCTCCGAGAGAACTGTGACTGACCCAAGGTCACCCAGTTGGCTGCATATGGAGAAGTGGGGAATTGAACCTGGTTCTCCAGATTAGAGTCTGCCGCTCTTAACCACTATGCCAAACTGGCCGCTCTTAACCACGACACCCAAGAGACAGGACATTTTTCCCCCTCCAGGCAGTTGACAATGCTGAGAGCTCAGTTTTGCCACACATGAACACTTGGTCCTCTGTCCCCCTGGCCACAATCCCAGTTGTGATTATGAGTGGGGAGGGGGGCAGATTCCAATTCTGGATGGGTGACATTGGATCCTTTCAAAATCACCTCTCTCTTTGTGACTTGCTGTCTGCTCTCTTCTCCAGTTACTCCCTCTCAGAGGCCGCTATTTCAACAGCCATGTACCACCTTCTGCAACTCACCATCCTCAGTCTCTTGTGTCTCCACGCCCCAGGCTGGGTAATTAAAAGATCCACACAGAATAAACCATGGAAAGCTCTGGACCAGCTGCAGAACAGAGAGCTGGTAAGAGGTTCAAGGGAAATGGGAGGCAGGGTTTGACTGTGCCAGTTGGAACCTGTTTGCAGAGCCCAAGGTTTGTTGGCCCTAGAGATATGTCAAGGGGTAATAAGAAGGGCACCTCTGAACATGGACAGAGTGCCTTTTTATGACACACACCGTGCCCCTTGTTCACAACTGAATCAAAAATAGCTGTATCACAGTTTGGGAGAGCAGGCCATCTTTAGAAGAAACAAGAACATATTTCACTTACATGCTCATTGCTTTAAAAAAAAATTGGCCTCATCGATTAATCAACTAAAATTATGTTGATTACATTAGGGTTGACTGCTCCGGGTTGGGAAATTCCTGGATATTTTGAGGGTGGAGCCAGAGGAGGGCAGGGTTTTGGGCGGAAGAGGTACTTCAGTGGAGTATAATACCACCGAGTCCACTTTCCAAAGCATCGATTTTCTCCAGATGAACTGATCTGTCACCTGGAAATCTCCAGCCACCACCCAGAGGTTTTTGTATCCAAAGGAGAGCTCACGAGAGGAGGTTGGATCAAAACACAAACACTTTGTGTATAACTTACGAACAGAAGTGGAAAGAATATTATCCAAAACAATTTTAACCATTCTTAACAGTTCAAATATTTGTCAAATTCAAAGACTCTTATGATTTCTTAAAGGGTTAGGATCCAACAGTACTTAATACAAAGGACAAAGTCCAAGTAAAGTTCACTAATATTTTGTATAAGACACTTCAGGAGAGCAGAAGTTCCACAGGAGAACAAAAATTCCACATTGTAGGAGTAGCAGCTCTGCACGGCTGGCTTCAGTGCCACGTTCGCTTCCTGCTTCTTCAGATAGCTGTGAAATCAAAAGATAATTTAACAAATCTCCTTAGACCAGTTTTCCAAATCCAGTCACCCCACTAACATGTTGTTCTTTCTGTCGACAAAGCTTCTACAGTATTCTACAGTACTCCTGAAGCGTCTTATACAAAAAATTAGTGAACTTTACTTGGACTTTGCCTTTTATATTAAGTACTGTTGGATCCTAACCCTTTAAGAAATCATGAGAGTGTTTGAATTTGACAAATAATTGAACTGCTAAGAATGGTTAAAATTGTTTTGGATAATATATTCTTTCCACTTCTGTTTGTACGTTATACAGAGTGTTTGTGTTTTGATACAGCCACCCTGAGGTTGGCAACTCTAATTGAAATACCAGTTACTGCAACATGTGAGTCTCTGAGCCGAACAACAACCCACTCAACCGAGCCCTCTGAGTGGTTTATGTTTTACCCCTGCAGCCTCAGATGGCAAATCAGGATATCTAGTTCTTAGCAAGCCACCATCTGTTGGTGAGTCCACGCAGTGCCAGTCTGAATGGGGGGTTGCGCATCCACTCTTGAGATGGTCAAGGTGCTCCTGGACTGCAGATACTGCTTCCTGCATCCATGGCTGAGTGGTTTCAAAGTGCGTATGCAAAGCTTTCATGTACACGGCAAACACTGTCATCTACCTGACCGGCACACATGTGCTCAAAAACAGTACTTTCCCCCCACTCCTCCCTCAGTTCTTCTTCCCCTTTTTGTTCATCCCCTTTGATCTCTCAAGAAATACTCTTGTTAAAAGTCAAGAGCTTCCTCATCTGACCTTGGCATGTCTCCCACAATACGCCTCTCCCTGCCCTTTCTAATACTTCTGATCCCTTTGAGAGCTCTTCAGCGTCTATCCAATAAACTAAGATGGCTTCATTACGGTTACAGCCTCCGGATGGTAAGATGCCTCGAGAGGCCGTATCATCTGCTTCTCTCTAGCCTCAGCTGTCATTTCTAGATAAAAGCCTGACTTTACTGCAGAACACAGACTGAGATTTCTTTTCATTCAGGGGCCAAGGAGTGTTACAGCTGTGAAATATAAGCTTTCAGCTCCTACAGAACTGCACTTCAGCCTGCTGTACACTCAGCCCAAAGAAGAATGTTGTGTGACTTAAAACCTGGCACCCAGGGCAACTTAACAGGAGTTTTTTCCAAATGCATTTCTGTACCCAAAGGGCTCACAAGCTCAGTAACAGATAGGGATGCCAGCCTCCAGGTGAGACTGGGGGATCCCCCAGAATTACAGCTCATCTCCAAACTACAGAGATCAGTTCCCCTGGAGAAAATGGGTGCTTTGGAGGGTGGAATCTGTGGCATTATGCCCCACTGAGGTTCCCTGTCCTCCCCAGACTCCATCTCCAAATCTCCAGGAGTTTCCCAACCTGGATCTGGCAATCCTATCCCACTCATTCCCATCTCCTGCCGGTGGCTGGGGTGACCTAGTAACCCTGGTAACTGATCATCATTGAGAATCATGTAATAAAATATAGATCTAGGGACCTGAACTTTCTCTCTCTCATGCGTTGGGGATGGCATCACCGGGCTCTGCCCAAGAGGAATCTTCCTCCAGTCATAAACTTTCCAAATCTTCCCTGTCCTTGGGACACACTTGGTGCGTTCAGATGGGGGATTTACAACGGTTAGGGTGCCGGTTCCAACCGGTGTACTTACAGGCGTTCACACGGCGAACATCTGCCTCCCGTCCCTAACCGTTGTAAATCCCTTTAAACCGTTGCACTCTGCCACTAGGTCCAAAGTGCTGGTAAACAGAGTGCAACGGTTGTAATCGGTGCACCCCGGCATCTGATCGCTCTCCTCCGTTACAGAGACACTTCCGTCGGAAGCCTGAGGCTTCCGGCTTT